TGTGTGTGTGTGTATGTGGCACAGACCAACTGACCAAGAACTTTTGACTGTGTTGTCAGTATATACACCAAAGCAAGCCTATCTAACATGCTGCAACACAGTATGCTACCTTAACCCTCCAGAGACAGATTTCAGTGTCCTCCAGGTGTCTCTCTGAACTTCGCCCTAATGCTGACATAGGCCATTTCTGTCTTTGCTGTACATTTAACAGACAAGCTCACCTCATTAATGCCCATGAAAGAAGGTGTACATCTATCATATAATACTGCCTTCCACTCCAACATATGTCTAGATGTAAGATGTGGTGACATTATGTATTCCTCCTGATTCTCCTGAGCATGCAAACTGCAGAATGTTTCTACGTTTCTATGCTTTGATGTATGTCAGCTACAGTCTGTAACCTAACTGCAGCAGTCCAATATACTGTTGCTTACTCACACTATGCATGTCACATTGTAGAATAGGCATTCCGAGAGACTACACATCATGTGATACTGCACTATTAATACTAATATACTGTTTATAAATCTGCAGCTGTTTTGTATTGTTTGTTAGCTTTTATGAGAGAATATTTGTACTTTCATTTTCATATACTTGCCAGTGTTTGTACACAAGAATGAAGTGAAGAAATAGGTCATTTTAAGCATTATCTTCTCAAGCAATCACTTTGCAGAAGCATTAAGTGCCTTTTTGTTTGTACTGAGTTGGCATCTGAATGACTGTTCTGGTGATTGGAAACCAGGAGAGGACTTCTTCTTTTCTTTTTTGTTATTGCTATGGTTTAAAAAAACTGAATTGTTTTGTAATATATTTCTCATATTTTCAAATAGACCATGCATTTCACCTTTCCTAGTTTATGTGAGTATATTGATATACTGGATAACTACACTGGGATGCTGTTGAACAGTGTATTGTGGTTCCTTTTGCCTTCATTAAAACATGTCTAATATGCTTTTTTTTTTTTTAAATAAACACATGCAAAGTGGGCCCATTTCTCTGAAAATATGTTATAAAGTGTGTTCACAACTACCTACAGCCTAAGCATATTAAAGCCATACTTTTTTTCACTAGTGGTAACAGTTACCTTGTGTGTGATTTTTTATAGAGGCAATAGGTTATTTGGCCATGTTTATTATCTCTATATATTTTGACCCATTCTACCCTTTAACCAACCTCTTTGTCCTGCTGCCATTTATTTCGCCATGTGTACTGTTCAGATACTGTAGATTTACCTCCTGTAACATTTCAACTTGGTAAATCTAATGACGGTTGAAAAAGCATTGTTAGATTTTATTATTGGTAATATAATGTGCAGAGATGTGGTGAGGTTAGTGATCTAACACTGTTAATGCATATTTAGACAGTCGTTTTGTTATTACTTCTGTAGAAATGGTAACTCATTTACTATGAATAATTACTAATAACTTGAAAAATATCTGAGGTAAATGAAAGGGATATTAGTCCACTGTTACAGTATTGTTCATGATTCAATATCATTTGTCACATTTTGAATCTTTGACCAATAAAATGAAGATTATTCTCCAAAGATGAAGCCTGTTGCCCTTTAGTTTTTGTTTGTTTGCAGCCCATCCCCTTCTTCATTTAATTTGGATTAGTATTAGTTTTGACAATCTAAAAAAAACCCTCAATATACATAATTAATACACCTATTCGGTATTTATATCTGAAGTATAGTATAGTATGACTTGCGCAGTAGTGCACTTCCGGACTGTGAGACCAGAACTACATCATTCCTGCAGTGTCGTCTCTCTTGACTACACACGCTCTTTGACGACGTAGCAGCACCGGATAGGCTGCAATCCCGGAAACGGCAACGTTTTCAAGCTAGCTGCTTGTGTTTTTGGAGAAATATGACATCTTCTTATTAATTGTTTTTATTTAAAAGGCTTTCTTCTTAAGAACAGACCACTAAGCTACAGGAATATCAGTAACTTTGGAGCGAGACGTTCAGGTTTTCAGGCAGTGGCTGTCAGTTTTCTCCTGCCAGCTGGACACTCGTCATCTTTGTTTATCGTCATTTTGTCTGTCCGGTTGTCAGCTGGCCGCTGTATTGCAGTATGGACGGTGAGGCGGTGGGCTCGGACACGGTGTCGGAGGACTCCGGCCCCGGCAGGAGGCATAGGGTGCACGGCATGTTGAAGCTCTACTACGGGCTGAATGAGGAAGGAAAGGCCGAGGAGCAGCCGGAGTCGCTGGATCCCTGCGACATCAACGGGCCGCATTTCGACCCGGAGCTCTTCCTCAACAAGGTTAGAGACCACTGGCAGTGGTCCACTGCTGTCATGTGAACTGTTTCCACAGTGAAACAACTCACATAATGGCCTCTGCACTGTATGCTGTTACCGCTGCTGTCAGTGTCAGTGTTACCTGGAGCTGCTGGACTACAGGCTCAGTACCTGTCTATATTATTGACAGTATATAAAGGTCTATATGTTGTCGTTATATTAGGGAGATTATAATGTAATTAAACCAATTCATCTCGAAGAATCCCATTGAGCCAGAGTGCCATTTCCTATAATGTGGTAGGGGAAATAATGATTATACTTAAAGAAAATTTGAGTGTCTGGGTTGCATCGCCTTAGAATAAAGGCTGAAGAACCACTAACCTTACTGGGACTAGAATTTAGTTTAAATTACCAGTGCATAAATTAAACAGTGCTAATTGAACTGGTGGACTGCAATTTTTAAGAATATTATACCACAAATCATTATGTAACAAGTTACCAGTAAATATACAGTAACTTAAATCTCTACACATATGGTCGGGGAATGACAGTGATTGAATATACACACATTTACTGGCAGTGGATAATAATTTAACACTGCTTTTGGTTAAAAAGGTTCTTAACCATATAATAAAACAAACCAATAACCAAGACGCACTCCATAGTGTGTCATTTGTACTTTATATGTACTGTTTTTAGACTGTGACCATTGTGTGTTTTGTGTCCAAACACAGCTCAGAAGGGAGTGCTCTCTTGCGGAGTTGATGGACCAGGAGACCTGCATGGTCAAGCAGATCCGCTCTTTGGACAGTGACATGCAAACGCTGGTGTATGAAAACTACAACAAGTTTATATCTGCAACAGGTGACCCAGTGTCTCACTCGCTGTTGAGTTACTGTTGAAATGTTTTGTGTATCTGGATAGTAGTAGCTCATCTTTCCATGTTTTTTTCCAGACACCATAAGAAAGATGAAGAACGACTTCAAAAAGATGGAGGATGAAATGGATTGTTTGTCTGCTAACATGGCGGCAATCACTGAGTTCAGTGCTCGTATCAGTGGCACTCTTCAAGACCAGCACGCGCAGATTACTAAACTCTCAGGTGAGACCGTGACGGGCAGTTTGTTTTGTTGAGTCAGTTGTGGGGGACTTCGTGATGGTGATTATTTTTGACATTTTTGTCTCGCTATGTTCAATTTTTAGGGGTTCACACTCTGCTGAGGAAGCTGCAGTTTCTGTTTGAACTGCCTGCCAGATTAAATAAGTGTCTGGAGCTGCAGGCCTATGCTCAGGCAGTGAGATCCCACCGCCGTGCCCGCTGTGTGCTGCAGCAGTACAGCCACCTGCCCTCCTTCAAGGGAATTCAGGATGACTGTCACGCCATCATGGACAAGCTGGCACAGGAGCTTCGACAGAAGTTCAGGTGGGAATCTGTCAACCTATGTTCAGATTAGAGACACAATCTAATATTGCAATTTGTTATTTGTTACTGTATATTGCAGATATTCATGCAGCTCAACTAAAAAGTACATTAACATTTTCTGTAATGCAGTTGTCATTATTAAATGCTTTGCTTGCCTGTACAAAATCCTTTTTGCAGTTTGAATTTCAAAAAGTGTTTGAAGAGAGATTTATTTGGGTCAGATTTTTACATTCCCTGTAGATAATCTATTTCCACTTGTTTTGTCCTATAGGGATGGTGGGTCAAGCGCCAAAGATTTATCAGAGTGTGTGGAGCTGCTGCTACAGTTGGATGAGCCAGCAGAGGAGCTCTGTGACAAATTCCTGAGCCATGCACGATCTCGACTTGAGTCAGACCTTCAGGGTCTGGAAGCAGAGATAAGACCCTACCCGTCTGCCTCAGCCATGAAAGATGCTTCTGGACACAGGTTGTCATCTACTGCAGCCGCTGGATCTCCGACTTATAACTCCCCTAAAACGAGCACTATACCTTCTCCCACCTCAAACACTGACATCCTGGAATTCATTGACAGAGGCTGCAATGAATTTGTCAGCAGCTTATGTTTAGTAATTACATCCTATCAAGAACTATTTATCAACCATGCTCAGAAAGGAGAGTTGGCATCCAAAAATATTCCTCAGATGGCAAATGGGAAGTTGAATGCCTTTGTGGATGATCTGGCTGCTCGGTATTTCTCGCTTGTGGAGCGGAGGATACAGGAGGAGAAAGGGGTTGCAGATAACTCCCTCTTAGTCCGCGCACTCGACCGCTTCCACCGCAGACTTCAGGCTGTGACCAAACTGCTTCCAGGCTCTGCTGTGCCAAACCAGGGGACTGAAATTGTGATCCGGGCAGCAACAGAGCGAGTCAAGCAGTACCTCTCTGCCCTGCAGAGCTTCTACATGGACAGCTTGACGGACGTGAGGCAGGCCCTGGCGACACCTCGGCTCTCTGTGGCCAGTGCTTCAGTGGCTGGAGGCGGGGCCCACCTAGGGGGGCCGGCCTCTGGCAGAGATGCTCCAAACAGCCTGCCAGAGCTGCTCTCCTCCCTATCAGCCTCAATTCTCAATCAGATTAAGTCGGTGCTTGCATCAGTGCATCTCTTCACAGCTAAGGACATTACATTTTCCAACAAGCCGTACTTCAAGGTGAATAGTTTCTCTGTTTATTTGCCAAAAAATCCTTTTCCAAACTATCCCGTATCAACGATTAGCTAATAGCCCCACTGAACACAAAGGGAAATATTCAATAATGACTTTATATTACATTTTTTAGTATCTTGTGTAGACTTTCTGTTTTGTTTCTGCACTGTGAGAGTGACAGCTGCCTGTGTCTGTCTTCTCCTCGTAGGGTGAATTCTGCAGCCAGGGTGTGCGTGAGAGCCTGGTGGTGAGCTTTATAAAGTTTGTGTGCCAGTCTTCACGCCAGTTTTGTGAGAGTGCAGGAGACAAGGGAGGTTCGACTCCTCCGGCCCTTCTGCTGCTGCTGTCCCGCCTCTGCTTGGACTATGAAACATCTACTATCTCCTACATACTCACTCTCACAGATGAACAGTTTCTTGTGCAGGTAATATAGTATCATGATTAATTATTATACTTATAAATGCAGCTGCACACACAAAAGGCTTTATTACACTGTAAAAATGCTCTTGAAAGTTGCGTTTTATTGCATCAGTCCTGAGAAATATGACTAATAGGTAGTGTTTTTAAATGTATTGTTAAAACTAAAATTAACAAATTTCACTACCAAAAGCTAAATATATGTCTTCTTCTTTTTGTACTCTCTTAGCACCACAGTCCCGTAACACCCGTCACAACTTTATGTGCAGAAGCCAGGGAGGCAGCACAGAAACTACTGAACCATTATGTAAAGGTAGGTTTTCACCTACCACATTCACTGAGTTACTTTTCTTACTGGGACAACAATGCAGGAAAAACTTCTACAAATTACTAATTATCACAAGTATGTATTTATTCATATTTTGTTGTTTGTTTTTGCAGGTTCAGGGCCTGATTATCTCCCAAATGTTAAGAAAGAGCGTGGAAACACGAGACTGGGTGAACACCATCGAGCCACGAAATGTCCGTGCTGTGATGAAGAGAGTGGTAGAGGACACCACCTCGATTGATGTGCAGGTCAGTTTGCATAATCACGATATCTGCGTTATGTCCTCGAGGCCACCCATTATGCTGTCATCAGCATGTGTGAGCAGGCTGCCTTATGAACCTCTGTTCTCTACTGTAGGTTGGTCTTTTGTATGAAGAAGGTGTGAGGAAAGCACACAGCAGTGACTCCAGCAAAAGGACTTTCTCTGTCTATAGCAGCTCGAGGCAGCAGGCCCGCTATGCTGCCAGCTACACTCCGAGGTAAATAAGCTGCAACGTTCAGTCTGTTTAGTGACAGCTTCTCATACATTTACAACATATTAGACTGTCGCGGTTAGAATTAATTCTTGGATCTAATTTAGTGTAGTAAATTCCGTACTTTAGGATAGAAAATATGTAAATCTAAGTTATGTCATAAGAGCTTTTTCCTAAATCTAAAGTCAAGATCCATCATTACACACTGTCAACCTTAATTGTTCTACAAAGGGAGAATTATGAGTGATTTTTAATGCGTAAACATATTCTTTAGTTAACTCTCGACATTAGTAAACTGAGTATAAACCCACAAACAGGTAGAATCTCAAACATTTGTTATTTAATTCCAAAGTCTTCAATGTGTCTTTCGCAGTCAAAACTTTTTTCTGTAGGGATGGTTGCATGTTTTGTATTGCAAATGCCCACACCTCTAGCTGGTTCATACACCGTGGACGACTACAAAATCAAGGGTGTTTATAGTTTTTCTTGAATGGCCACACTGGAGGGAGAAGTGAAAAGCCAGCCGTCGCAGAGAGTGTGGGGGACACAGTATTGTTTAAACACAGGGATAAGTGTGCACATGTTTACACTGTCTGTCCTAGAAGGCATTCAGTACCAGAGTAAAGTGATAAGTATTATTAGACGTACGGCCCATGTATGAGTGGCTTGGTAAGATATTATGTGTGACAGGCATACAACAGATGCATGCAGCTAATTTGTATTACCTCCTTCACTTGCGTTGCAGTGGGTGGCAATTGTTGACTTTAATTACAAGACTAAGGTAATTGTTTTAATTGTAGATTTACTTAAGTGCATTGTCTTTTGTCTGCTTGCAGTGCTCCCATGGATACTAATCTACTGAGCAACATACACAAACTGTTTTCAGAGAGGATCGACATCTTCAGCTCAGTGGAGTTCAACAAGGTGAGTGCAGGTCTTTGTTATGCTGTGATGTAGTCTTCAGTGAAAAACCTCTCACACACACTCACACACCCCTCCACTGTCCCAGGTCTCTGTGATGACAGGAATAATTAAAATCAGTTTAAAGACATTCCTGGAGTGTGTCCGCCTGCGCACCTTTGGCCGGTATGGGCTGCAGCAGATCCAGGTTGACTGCCACTATCTGCAGATGTACCTATGGCGGTTTGTCTCCGATGAAAACCTTGTGCACTTCATGCTGGATGAGATAGTGGGGAGCTCCGCCCACCGCTGCCTGGATCCTGCGCCAATGGAACAGAGTGTGATCGAAGTCATCTGTGAACGAGGTTGAAGCTCAGAGTGCAGCACAGGCAGCTGGGCACTCCATACACCGTATTACAAAACAATGTACACTAGAATCGTGCATCTACATTTAAAGTCTTTCTATTACATAATCACTGTTAAATGTTAAATTAATTGATCCAGATTTTAATTAAACTGTAAAAATCTCATCTCAAACATTATATTACAAGTCAGCTAAAGCCCAGTAATTGCAATCCTCAATGAAATAAATGATAAAAACCCTCTGGGTTAACTCTACTTTCTTTTGTTTGAGGTATAGATAGGGCGCTTGTATTACTGTAAAGATATGGATAAATCTTCCAACACTAAAGAGAACCAAACAACCCTTGGCTGTTATGTTGTCAAGAGGGTTAAGTCACTGACTGACAGTGAATTTGGGGCAGATCTGCATTACATTCCAGGCACAAAGTGCACATGAGCCTTAATATCACATTAATATTAAAATGTGAGAAAAGAAACCCCGCTCATCTCCTCTATCTGCAAAGACAGAAAAAAAGTGAATTATCCATGATACAAGCTCAACTTCTTTTAGCACGTTCCCCTTGAAGGAACAGTGTTTAAAGTGAATACACAATCTGAATGACTTAAGAGAAAAGTTGTGTCCTGTGGAAATCTCATGTAATAATAAATGCTTTTAGGGGTCTTTTGCTGAATAATTTGCAATCTGAATGTAATATGATTATGTAATCCATGTCTAACACTAAAGTGACTACAGCAGATTTCTCTTCCCTTCAGGTTAGCTGATTCTCTGTTTTCTGTGCATGTCTTCCACAGATAAACAGTATGTTTTAGGAATGGTTAAAATGTGTATGTCTACAATAAAATTGTATGAATGAGATTCGAAATGTGTGTTCTTCTTTTACAAAACCAGCCTCATGGTCACATTTTAAAACATTGTAGTAATAATATATTTTTTGCAGTTTTTTAATTCGTTTAACTGAACAACGTAACGAGATATTAATGTAACTCAGGTGTATTTCACAACGCCTACCAGCCATCCTCATTGTAGCATGCATCTGACTGTCGCCACCTGATGAGCGCATTTGATTGGCTGAGCGCTCTTCTCTCCACCCTCTTCTGATGACCACGGAGGGATCTGATTGGCTGAGAGACCCGCTTCATCCTGTAAACGTACTTCGGGGGCGTTTCCATCTGCAGGCTGCTGGATGGATGCATTCAAATATAATTACAGTCCCGTTTACACCTCCGTGCTTTACACCGGTAAGACTCTGTATTTACTGTGTTACAAGACAAACCGTTGTGTGCCCTCTACCTACAGTACGCTGTGTTTCTTTGTACTAAGCCTTTGTTTCTGTCTCGCTCAGGGCCATGTTAGCATCAGTACTGCAGGTAAAGGGACAGACATTAGCCTTTCGGCTCAGGTTTCATAATAGAAATGTCTCTACGCGGACACACAGGAACTATCAGCAGTTTGACCTCAACTTATTTATGACAGGAGTCGTAATAATACAACACCTGTATACAAAATAACAACCAATTTAATTGCTTTCACATAATGCTCAAGAAATATCTGAATGTGCTTTTTGTTGACAACACCTCATCAATGATCCTCTTCAACTTAATTCCAAAATGTCAGATTCCTAGTTTCATTTGTCCTTTTGTGGTCCATTTGTGATCAACTGTATGTACAAGTGTTACCAGTAAATATACTTCAAGAATCAAAAGTGGCAGAATGGCCCCTTTCAAGGTGTCAAACATATTCAATCAGTGTATTATTACTATTGTGTCATAACCAGGCAGCCTTTGATGTATCTGGTTGAGTGAAGCTACTAACCTGCTGGGTGTCTGTCTCACTCCAGAAGTTGCTCATATGAATTGCAAGAAAAAAAGAAAGTCACTGGTAACTAAAGCTGTTAGATAAATGTAGTGGAGTGAAATTGGAAATGTGAAAGTAAAGTACAAATACCCTTGTATTTAAGTACAGAACTAACTAACAGTAAATGTACTCAGTTACTTTGCACCACTGCTACTAACAATGATTTACGTTCCTTTGTAATGAGGCTTACACTGAAACCTGTGGCCTGTTTAAAGAGCAACACTGAGTGTTAATATAGATAAAATTCTGAAATTAACTGCAGATTATATTTAGGATTATTGTAATTTTCAGATCATCTTAATTCTAGACAATGTATGTGCCCTTTGTTACAAATATAGGTTCAACATCATCAGAAGGCTCTGTGACTTTGACATTGCTCTATTGCCGTCTAATTTCTGCTTTTTATTTGTTCCTTAAATGTTTGTATTTAGACTGAAGTATAATATTTTCACAGGAGACCAACTATGAGGCCGAACAGTCAAGCACTCAAACACAAATCCTCACATGACACAGAGAGGGAATTTGGAGGAACCCTGGGTGAGTCGCAGCAGACCGGACATAGACATAGATATTTGATATTTCTTTGGTAGATCATAAAACTGCTGGCACAATAGAAATAATAAGATGAGAAAACAAGCTGCAGTGAAGGACAGGACTGATTCATAAAGCTATAATTGAGAGTCATCACAACCACCCAAGTAAGATTTGTCATTGTAGTCAATGTAGATACGACATGAAATGAGAGGACAAATACATCTTAGCTTCTGTGTGTGTGTGTGTGAGAGAGAGAGAGGAATATCTCCTGCTGTGTTCCTTAAATTGAGCATCGCATCCAATTTGCTCTCCAGTTGTTTTTAAAGTAAAATCATGTTTTAAACATGACTGCTCAGCTCTCAGCAGACCACATATCTGACAGTACTGAAGTGAACCAGAAGCTTTGTTGAACCGATACTGACAGCTAATCTAATTGTTTTGCTACAGTACAGTTATTTAACATGCTTGATTATTCAAAGTTAACATACATTTGCAATATTAATCTGCCACATTAGATAGTCTCATTGGTAAAATCTGCTCTATTATTCAGTTTTCCCTGCGTTGCTGCTTCTGGCTGCTTCTCAGTGCTGTCAGCCAGGTTGTCTAAACACACCTAGTCTGTCCTCTCACATTTATCTGTAACCGTCTCTCAGGTGCCATATGCATTCCCATCTTCCTTCCGTTGACGGTGCTGTTCCTGATCTGTGTGAGTCGATCCCCGGAGGCCAGTGTGCTCCAGTGGCCCCCCTCCCTTCCCTCCGCAGACCAGCTGTGGGACCCTCTTGCCCTCGTGCTGCTGGTGGGCTGGATTGCTCTGCATGCCCTCCTCTATGTGATGCCATTAGGAAAGGTATGACACGTTCATCAGCCTGGTCAAAGGTTAAACTCACAATAAAACCAGCTGTGGTGACAAACACACCAACAAGAGGCTCCTCTGGAAGATTCTTTTAGGGCATATGGTGACTACGGCCAATCATTGAATCATTTCTTCTGTGTTAAAGTAAATTATATGATTAATTAATCATTTTATTTGTGATTTTGGATTTGTCATACCATCATATATACATATATGGGAATATTCTTACTGATATAGTGATACTGATTCATTTAAGCCATATTACCCAGCATGAAAGTATATTACATGCACATAAACACAGAGCTGTACATGAATTGCACAAGTTTGATTAGTTGACTTTCCACCCAAATATAAGATATAAGATGAGACTTTATTAATAACCGTACAGAAAATTCATATATGCTTAGGCTGAACCTATGACCCTGTTCCAATTATTAATATATGAATAAGATCGCCTATGTTTAATGTGTTCGGATTCAAAATGAATGTATTTCCCTGCAGGTGTCTGAAGGATTAGTGCTGAGGGATGGAACACGTCTCAAATATCCCATAAATGGTATTGTTGGGTTATTTATTTTTAGGATTTAATATGAATATGTTAACAGTTTTTTAATCAAAGTACTGCCTTTTTTTGTACTGTGGGTAATGGAATATATTGTTCTGGATCATTATTGTCTACAATGATGTATTACTTTAAAGTGATATTATAATAGCTCTAATATTTCACAGCTATTCCTGAGTTTTACATATTTGTTCACATTTGTAATGCTTCACTTGCTGTGACAACATAATATTTTTAGTTTAATCTCTACACTTCTGACCTTGAGGTAAAGTTTATTTAAGTTACGCAATCTGAAGTTCCACCTCTTCCAACTTTTTATACCCGCCTGTGTCAGTCTGCTTATCTCTGTCCCCCAGGCTACAACATTTAGTTTTGTTTGTTTCTCTCCCTCAGGTTTTCATGGCCTGTGCATCAGTGGTGTGTTGCTGATGTTGTTAGTGGGGCTTGAGGCTCCTCTGGGGTATCTGTTTGAGCTGCTGGTTCCTCTGGCAGTGTGTGCAATAGCAGTGTCATTCCTTTTCTCCGTCTACCTCTACATCCGCTCCTTCTGGGCTCCTTCTCATGCTCTCGCTTTGGGGGGCAACACAGGTGAGAGCAAAGGGTCATGATTAAAGGAAGAATCCACCCTAAAACACTGTTTGAACACAGTTACTGGTGCTGTACTGTGCATTTGTAGGCCTGTTTTATTTTTTGCTGGAGGATTTTGGTATCCCTGTGGGTAATTATCTAACAGCTGAGCTCTCCAGGAGCCTGCTGGCATCAGGAACACTGTTTCAAGTAAGATGACCCCGCTACACCGGCTATGCTGTGCTCTGCTGCCTCTGAAGGCAGAAACCTGAGAGCATCCAGTATAGTGATTCAGCTCCTACTCACTGATGATTACGTTCATCCCAGTTTGAGAAAAGAACAACATGTTGTTTCCGGTGCCATGCTATGAAATCAAACATAAAAAAGAACCCTTCTTGGTGATTCAGTTGGCATGAAATGAATTAACATTTAAAACAGGCACATGCGTCTACGATTATCTGATAAATGAAACAAAGACAGGCAGGTGGAATGTGGCTAAACAAAAAAACTAAGTCTCACTTGCACAGGTTGAACTAATTCTCTTAATAATGGCTTGGTTCTTATTAAGTATCCCAGTAAGACAAAAAAGCCCGGACCTCTGAACTCGCACATCTAAATGGAATGCAGCCATCAATTAATGTTGTTGATTACAGCTCTGCTTTCCTATTGTGACATGTTGATATCTGCTGTGAAAAAGGCCTTTTGTATAACAACGTTAGTGGATCAGGTATAATTAAGCTAGAAGACATAAACAACTTTGGACTAAAAATAGGTTTCAGCTAATCGCTAAGATCACCCGTAAACATGATATTAATTTGCTTTTCACTTTTTATTTACAGCATATACCTGCAGACACTGAAAGCAGTTATATCTGTATATGTGAAATCCTCCTTTGGCTTTTTTTTTTTAATGCATTCATCCATCTGTTTTGTCCAGGAAATCCTCTGTATGACTTCTTCATCGGACGGGAACTAAACCCCCGGATTGGAAACTTTGACCTTAAATATTTCTGTGAGCTCAGACCAGGTCTGATTGGCTGGGTGAGTTAACCTGCAGGAGTGAACCATTGAGTCACTTCTAAACCCATTTTGGGATTTTTGTTCATGTATACTGTAGCCGGTCATTTTCTCAGTTGACAGGTTAACACAGGATGAGTAAATAATGGTAAAACAATAGATTTTAATTTGAAATGTGTCCTTGTGAACAGTAGTTAACACTGATGGTGAGCTCTGTTAGACCAACAGGTGGCGACGTTGCTCTCCCCTGATCTTCCATAATAATTTGCAGTCTTACTTTGACACAGTCAGAGACAGAAACTTTTTTTCTCCCCCTGATGACCTGACCCAGAGAGACAGGGATGTGCATCATTATCTGCGTCCTCAGACCCAATAAGACAAAATTTCCAGAGATAATAACTACAACAAGGTTCTCTGTCTTCACCAGTCACAAAAGACAGCATAGACACAGTAAAATGATGGAGTCATACTGGAAAATGTTGATAATGAGTAATGAGTCCTTTATTTACATTTTTCTCCGTATTTACAGTATAAACAGTAAAACCTTTGCACATCTGAATGTTTTAAAGCCAGGTGCGTAGGAGAGGACAGAAAAAGCTCCCACCAACTGGCTATAGACAATGTGTGGGAGATTTTCACTTCCTGTTGAATGTTAAAACTGTTTACTTTTAACTTTCAACATCTTAAAATTGATGATTATTGACCAAATAATAAAGATTTTAAAGGCTAATAGAGTGGTTTATTATTTATTATTATTACATTATATATGAGCTATTCACTTCTAAAGCCCCCAAGCAACCACAAACTGTCCAACTGACAAGTCATGGATACCCTAGAAGGTAATCTTTACCAAAAATATTACCTGGTAAAGTTAATACAGTTTTTATTTCAATGTTTTATTTATTGGTAACATACACTCAGTGGCCACTTTGGGTGTTTGATGCTTCACCTCGCAATGACTTTTTGTCCTATAAATTAGATAATAAATTCTTCTACCATTACTGTGTGGGTGAAAAGCAGCCTAACAAGTGCTGTGAATCAGTATTCACGTCACCTGTTTTCCTCTCAGGTGGTTGTAAACCTTGGCATGCTGATGAAGGAGGTCGAGCTTCGAGGTTCCCCCTCACTCGCCATGATGCTGGTCAACAGTTTCCAGCTGCTGTATGTGGCAGACGCTCTGTGGAATGAGGTGAGGGGGGCAGTGGAAGTACTGTGGATCCAAATGTCGTACACAAATTCTCATTTAAAAATTGGCGCACATCAAAGATGTTCAGCCTGACCTCTTTGTTCCCTGAACTATTAGGATCAATTTTTTCACGTAATCTCATGCACTGTTGTGTTACGACAGGAAGCCGTTCTGACAACCATGGACATTGTTCATGATGGTTTTGGCTTCATGTTAGTCTTTGGGGACCTGGCCTGGGTTCCCTTTACATACAGCCTGCAGGCGTCCTTCCTGGTTATGCACCCACAGGCCCTCACTGCCCTCGGAGCAGCAGTTATAATTGCGCTGAATGGTAATCAATTGCCAGCTCTTATTCATTAGACTGTGATACGTTGTGTCTCATGGTTATGGGTGGCGCTATTAATATTTTTCTGCTTTCCATCAGGTATTGGATATTATATTTTCAGAAAATCCAACTCACAGAAGAACCAGTTCAGACGAGACCCTTCACATCCAAGTGTTGCAAGTTAGTGCATTTTTAATTATTTTTTAATGTATTCTCTGAATCAAGACAAATACTCTCACTTATACTCTTCCACATCTTGTTTCTAATAATGTATCTCAACTCTTGATATATATATGAGGAAGCTTTGTGTCAGAATGAAGTGGGCGACGGGGAGTTGATCTCTGAAGTGACTTTCAGATTTTACCCAGAAATGTCTACATTTTTAACAACTCCTTGCAGGACTGGAGACCATCGCCACAGCAACAGGGAAGCGGCTGCTGGTGTCCGGCTGGTGGGGTCTCGTTCGTCATCCCAATTACCTCGGTGACCTCCTCATGGCCCTGGCGTGGTCCCTGCCATGTGGTAAGACAGCTTAAAAGCCAATGCAAGGCTTGTTTTTGCAAAGTGTTCATTGAAAAATGTGGGAGTCATAGATTATTTTCATAGATTTCACATTTCAAAAGCAGTGTTGTACATTTTTGTCTGACTCATATCATCACTTCATTCTGACTTGTACCTGCCGTCCAATTGGACTACAGCTCTCCTAATGCCAGATTAATGTGCCTGCATGTCTTTATTAATCAGCACTTGTTCTGATGCAAGGTATATCAATACCAAAAGTATATTCTTTTTCTACAAAACCCTTTTTTATTTAACAAAAAGAGCACAAGTTCAACAAGTCATTACATGTCAGTCATTGATTAAATAATAAATTAAATAGTCTAAAACTTTTATTTAAACTTGTAGTAATTGATTTTTTTTAGCCATGTATCACATTGATACGCAGAAGAAGTCACGTATTTTTCACATTAGATAGATAAGCTGCTAATTGCTCCACTATGTTCACCAACTAGTTGCTAACTGTGTCTGTCTGCTGCTTGGTGATGACCATAAGGTGTACAGTGGTTTTTTAGAACTTTATAGTGAAAACAGCTGCCTGCTATGTCTGAAAATGCAAATGCAATCAGAGCAAAGAGATTTAACCAAAACATAAAGTTGCAGGCCAGAAAACCAAAACAATGAGCTTAAAGATGCTAAAAAGCAATGTCGAGCTGAGGGGAACTGCATAGTCATGTCATTATGATCGGTGGGTTCCTGGGAGTCCCTACGAGCGAGCCTTTTCAAATACAGTGGGATCCATTGTTGCCATAAAATACTGATTTTATAGCTGCTTCAAATCAGGAAATACCTGACCAAAATAAGGCAAACAATGTTAAAACTTAAAGTTTCAGGTACTCTGCTATTGAGACATTTTGGTTAGTAACAAAAATGTATTGAAGTTTGATACCCAGCCATAGCCCTTTGGGTTTTTTCAGATTGTCCTCCTATCCTTATAGGGGAGATAATTATACAGTGTTTGTGAATGCAGAAGCAATAAAGGCAGCAACAGTCTGTTCTCTTTGTTCCTCTGTAAGCGGCCTTATGTTCCCTTGAAACTCACTTCCTAAAATGGTGACTGTCAGACTTTTTTTTCTTTCTCTTTTTTTTCTTTTTCTTTTTTTATTTTTTTTACAGCTGACACATTCTGCTCATTGGTATTCAAACTTTTTATGACTCAACTTGTGTTGCTGCCTTTGTAATTGAGCTGTACTGTAGTTTCTGCCTTAACTGCAGCTGCCGAAATCACAAACTGCTAAATTATGTGGAGGAACCGAGTACTGAGTACTGAGGAAACATTTGACTGAAAGACAAAAAGGTGTTTGCTCAGAAACACTACAGATTGCGGTCTCAAAGAATTACCATTGAGATGAATCAACACTGGGAAGATTATATGCTTAATCAAACTGGTATTCACTGCAGGGCTTTTGTATAATACATAATGAAAAGAAAAGAGGAGGATGGACACCTGATTACTGCTTCTTTTATGTCATTCACATCGTGAACATTGATGTCAGCAGTAAAAGGTGTTTTCTCTGTTTTGATAATCATTTGAAATTCAGAATTTCATCAATTAATTATAAATATAGTTTTCTTTGACATATTATACTAGTTTCCTATGCTTACAGTTTGTGTATACTTCTCTTTTCTTCAGGATTCTCACATCTTCTGCCTTACTTCTATGTCATATATTTCACCGTCTTGCTGATTCACCGGGAGGACCGTGATGAGAGACAATGTAGGGCCAAATATGGAGTAGCGTGGGACACCTACTGTCGACGTGTCCCCTACAGGATCTTCCCTTATATATACTGAAGGGAAAAGCACATGGGTGGAACAGGACCAAAACTCAAAACATATTATTCCTCGTGACCCTTCAAGTCCACGCAGACTTTAAAATGTAAATTACACAGAGGTAATACCGGGTGCTGCTACTGGGAATCTGCAGGAAGCTCACACGTTTAATCAGCCTTGATTCGTAAGGTTCAGTTACAGAATGATGTTCGATGGATCAACATTTCTAATTGATTGCATTTTGACTTTAAAACCTCAGAGGAATTAGATGCACAGTAGGTAAAGTCAGTGTGCATTACACACATCTCTTGTTCTGTATTTCCAGCATCCCAGCATTGGAGGTCAACACTGTTAACAGCGTTGGCTTTTCTAAACAAAAACAGTTTAATGAGAAAATATTTTGCCTGAAAAAATGCATTTCCATATGAACACCGGTGCCTTTTTTAATGAAAATACTGGCTCTCAGCATTTTTACCATGTTTGCTTTTTTACAATGTCTTTATTTTTTAAATGTGTTGTTATCTGTGAAATACATTTGAAATAAACAAATACAAAACAGCAAACATCACTTGATCATGCATCTTGATTGCACAAACAGTTATTTAAATCTCTCTTGGCATTGTGGAAAACAATATAATATTATGCTAATGTGGCGGAGCTCTAATGCCATTAGTTTGCATTAATATGTATAAAAAATTATTCCTGCACTCTATGTTGGAGACAGCTGAAAGACTAGAACAGCTAGCTGCCATCTTCTGACGCCTGTAAAGATGGCAGCTAATAGCTGTGTCAGTTTTTAATAACCTTTTCCAACCTGTTATCATTATCCTGTTTAAATGGATTTTCGTTGCAGCGTACAGACCTTAATAGCAGACGTTTACCAAGCCTCTGGGCTTCTTTAACTTCCGTCATGCTTTGAATATCCTCTGTTCTAAATTACTCAGAAGGAACAAAAGGTATATGGGTTCAATTCAGAAGCTTCAAAAAATTCAAAGGCTCCTGAAAAATGGCCTCAATGGGCATGAAAGCGGTGTTCCTTCTCTAAGCTATGTTCAAAGAAAGTTGATTGACAGTGGAGGTGACAGTTGGTTTATTGTTAACAAATTGTTTGTTGCCATTTTTCCAAGCAGATTTGGACCCCTATTCTATTAACAGGCAGCAGTTTTTTTTGCCCTTTTCAATTAGAAATCACCTTACATTTACACTTCATATATTTCTCTCACATGGGGGTTTACAGATGACGGATCACTCTGCTGATGCACACCTTCATTTGTCACCTTTTAAGCCCATTTACAGCACAGTTGGCCTCTGGCCTCGCCCACACAGCACTCATTTTGTGTTGTTTTTAGTATGCTAAGTGCTAATTAGGAATGTGCTTGTATAATGCCATGGTTGTCTATATAAAGGCTGGATATTTGCTGAGTTAATATGTACTGTAAGCTTTTTAGGTTTTGTGTTTTTAATGTATGTTTATTTTTTCTCTGATTCTGTTCATTTTATTGCTCCACCAGTTCATAAATCTGTTACTGAAAGTGCATGATAAAATTTAATATTATTGTTTTTCTTATTTGAGATTAGACATTTGAATGTAGACTTATTTTATACTAACCTTTACTTTGAACGTGTTTCTATATGACCATAGGCATGATGACAGACCACTCTAATATTAATTTAATAAAGGAAACAGACCCGTGGTGAAAAGTAGCAAAATACATTTAAAAGTACAGTTTTAAGGTGCTTGTATTTTTACATCAATATATGCAAATACAGCTTACATACTTCTGCTCCACTACAATTTAGACAGAAGTATCCTTACTTTTCAGATTAAGAATTTAAAACACACGATAACCTCAAAAAATACAATACATTTGTAAAGATTAAACTAGTGATTTCAAAACTTTTTCACTTGTGACAAATTATAAAAAAAAGAGTTAGAGCCCCTTCTTTGTCACAAATAACTGAATTAGCTGTTAGTTAGCAGTAAAAGAAGGATTTCTCCCTCTAAACTTGGTTTCGTTTAAATAATTGTTCAAAAAGGTGAAATCATCCAATATGTCACAACCAAATCAAAGATTAGGATTTGGACCCACTGCACTAAACTAAAAAATTAACTCCACCTCGAGCAGATACAACAGCAAACCGCTGATATTCATGCATCAGTAATAACAATCTGGGAATGTAATATTTAACCATATAAATGTACCACAAGGGTTTTTAACTGGTTCTAAAAGGCTCAATTTAATAGTGATCCCTCTATAAGACTTACATAAACAAACAAGACCATCAGTGATGAGATTGGCTGTTTCTATAGGCAATCTTAATGCCTGCCACCGAGTCAGATTCCCCTTGAAATCAATGAAACGAGGCAGAAGAAACACTGCTGCTTTTGTCCACAGGGGCCACCAAAATCAACAGGATTTTGAATGCATTACTTTTACTTGCAAGTGAGTACTTTTCCATTGTTGCATTGGTACTTTCAACTTAATGAAAATATCGGAAACACTTCTTCGACCACTCATCCAAACACACAGTGCTGAAGCTCCTCGTCCATCTTTAGCGAAGATAATGACAAATTTGGATAAAAAAACAACAAACTCAAATTCTCTGACCATGCAGCAAAGATCTATGCATTATTGTCTCAGAACAAGTTTGATGTATTAAAACAATCCCTGTGTGTTTTTACTGTGAAGAGTTACTGTTTCTCTTCTTCCTCACAGAAAATTCTAACGATGTTTCAAGTATTTAACCTCCATTACAATCAATATTTCAGTATTCTGTCGTCGGGGGTAAAATTAGACAGTCATAATCATTACTAAGAGCAAAAGGAGCACAGCAGAAACTGAAGATATTAAAGCCTCAGGGCCTCATTCATAAAACATATTCTGTGATTTGATCTTAAAAAATGTATCTTAAAGTTGTGAGCAGACCTGCCTGATTAAAAAGACCATTACACACCTGATATCAACAACCTGCACGTCCATATACCTGTCCCATATATTCTTAAGTGATCAAAACCACCAGCATGGCTACAGACCAGTGTTGTTGTTGTTTTTATATTCCACCACAGATTCACAGTTTATAAATAACAGCACTGATGTGATTTTCATTTTTTACCAAAAGCACATTCTGAAGGTCATATTTTCTAATTTGTTTTAGAGAGTAATTGGCACATAATTGACAAATGAAACGTCATGATTTGTTAGAAACAAGGCCATTAGTTGAAAATGAACTCAGTATTTAGTTACAGATAAAAGCGATGGGGATATTTTTATAAAAGAGACCGCAGCTGACAGAGTGAGTCACGCTCAAGTCTCTGTCTGGACAGACGATCCACGGCCCAAATAAAAACACAAGTGTGAACAGGTTTGACACATTCTTTGACACAACAGCCACTGTTTAGACAGCACATCTTCTCCCGCTTCATTCTTAGAAAGAAAGAAAGCAAACACAAGATTTTCATTTTGCAATGGCAATTTTAAAACGATCAAACTAAATTAATTTAATGACCAGAGTTGATCTGTGAGTAAGGTGGTGATTTTCAGTTTTTTTTTGCCTTAGCCATTAAATGTAAATTGCCATAACAAATGAATAAACAAATAGCAACAACTAGCCTATTTATTTACTTTTTTCTTTTTAATCAAATGATTAACTTTCGAGTTATGTTTTCTCTTCTCAGTCTGTCTAGTCTTCCAGTAATTGTCACTGTGGGGCTTTCTGCCAATGAAGCTTAACATGAAGCTTCAATAACATGTTTGCTTATCAAGTGCATGACCCTTATAGACGATGTTCTGCTGGGTTTCCTGTATGCGCATGTCTATACAGCCATAATAATGTGCAACATCCTAGAGTGCCTTGCATAATAATGAATGAGCGAACTGTATGTGTGTGTGTGTGTCTGTGCTTGTACATCTGAGTGTGCATGTACTTGCCTATTGTGTATGCCAATCCTGACGTTTCAGGCCCATCAGTTGTAGCCAGTTTCCATGGTAACAGCTCTCTGAGAGCACAGACGTAGGAGAGAGGGGAAAGGAGTTGAGACAATTATCGTGGTGGAGGGTGCTGAAAAAGGAAGAGCCTGGGATGAACGGTGTGAACCGTGGGATGAGACCAAATGAGAAACAGATGTATGTGTTGTGAGTGAGCGAGCAAATGTGTATGTGCGTGTGCCTGCATGTTGCTGTGTGTATGTGTGTCGGTATTCTGGGATAAGCAGGTGTCATGCACAGAGGCATTGGGGTTGTGGTTGTCATGACTACATACATGTACTGTTATGGATGTAATCTAAATTTAAAAAGAATGTATTGTGTAGAGAATCAGTGCTGCCGGGCATGTGAACCAACTTGAATTGGATCTTTCTGTGTTTTGAGTGAGAGCCTCAGAGTGAGTCAACAGGAATCTCTAATACAATTTAGTTTCCATGGTGACAGCGGGGAATGATATGTCCTTTTCAAACAGAGGGAAAACGCCAGCTTGAAGCTTCGTTATTGCTCTGTTTTCTGTCTGAATCATTATTTAGACAAGTGATAACCTGGCAAACCTTACAGAGCCTATAAATGAGTCCCTGAGCCGGCTCAGAGACACACTCAGCATTTTCTGCCATTTCTTTTCTCCTCTTGCAATCAGAAGAAAGAAAAACTGTTGCGGAGCATAAAAAAAGGCCCAAAAATGATGAATGTATTACAGCTACAGTGACATTTTCTTCAGTGATCTCTTGCTGTGGAGAACTTAGTGTTGTTATGCATCCAGTGCTCTGTAATTTGTATTCTCGAGGTAAAGACATTAATGAAAGGTTATCATCCACTCTCTGCTGCCACTCCAGTAGAAGCTCTTTTCACATCAGTGAGGCATTTTCAGTGAATTCAGTTATTTCTGTGCTTTTTAAGAGGCTGTGCGAATGTCTGTGTAACCACTTCTAAATGCAGCTGTTTTTTCGACTGCTCTCGATGTGGCAGTTCGTCTTCTGTGCTCTGTCTAATGCAGCACTCAGTATCCTCGCTTATAAATTCTCCACATCATCCTCACAGTTATATTTTTTTCTTCTAGTACATGTCTAGTGTCATCACGTCTGCATAACTCCTAACAGATGGGAAAAATACTGACCCTCAGTTCACAGGAAAAAAGAAACTTGGACCATTTTTGGCATTACTGTTTTATTAGAATATGGCATGATAATCGCTGTTTATTAACTGTACATCATAGTGTAACCTAATAAATATAAAGTAATCCACCAAATTTACTGTAGCGTACATTGATGATAAATGTATAAAAGACAGATACAAATAGATATACTTAAATACAATTTTCTAAAATGCTTTGTTTAGAGCAACTACATAATGACATTCAACCGAGCTGTATTTCTCCTCCTTGCCTTGTGTTTCTGTGCTTTAATAGTGATTGTCCAGACTCAACACGCTCACATTGTTGGCAGAGTTTTGAGGTCTCATTGTCCTGTGATTATTTTAATGGGAACATCATTTGGCACAACACGTACTGTCTACTTTGTGTCTTCAGGAACACTGACAGACTATTAAAGTTGATTCAGTCGAGTAAAATGTTGCCATTTGGTTGAAATTCAAATCACACATGCGCTTTGAGCTGCTCCTTCTAACCCCCTTATTAGTACTGAAGTGACATGAAAAGGACTATGATTGACACAATAGGTGTGCCTGTGTGGTGAAGCCCTACCACAAAGCTTGTGGCATTTCATATCGGTAACGGTCAAAAATGTATGTTACACATTGTTACAGGTTGACTACCGTAGCAGCAGTCAGGACAACATTTTTTTTTTTAAACCTGGTAGTCTTCTGCAGTGAAGCTATTGTGAGACATTTTATATGAAAGTGATGCATGTATCACTTTTTAAAACAGTTTTGGATTGGAAATGAAACAATTTGGCGGATTCCTCTGTGTCATAAAGCTATTCAATTATTAAAAACACATCACTGAGCCAAACTGTAACTCTGGGTGACATGTTTATTTATTATGATCAACATGGGCACTGTAGTTTATTGTAAATCAATCCCACACACACCATCCTGACTCCTGATGCTGTAAATACTCACCAGTGTGGCAGATGTGTATTAATCCACTGCCTAAAATAGTTCCCAAGAAATGCACTATCTGAGTGTCATTTGCTGGAAACTTTTAGAAATTATTTTGCATTTTTAAAAATTACACGATTATTTGTGACCCGGTTTTAAAATCGGTGTCAAATGAGGCTGAGAGCCACAGCCGAGGAAGTCGTTAGTTTCAGTCTTTTCATTACTAAAATATAGAACCATGCAAGCCTTATCCTATGATATTGCTATTTAATTCACATTGTTAGTTATATGCTTCCAATTGAAATGTAGTTAACCCTAAATAAATTATTTTCCAGTATTTAAGTTTCCAGAGTTCATTTTGCCGGTTTAAGAATGAAAAAGAAATTCCTCAATATTGGTGATAATAAATGATCAGTGATACAACTACTTTTGGATCTTCATGTGAGCTCGTGTTGAAGTGTGTATTTCTTTTGACATAATTAGAAACTACTTCATTAGGCTGTCATATTCAAGACGTTTTTTTTCTTTCCTAAGTGAGTCCCACAGTTTATATACCAGACGTGTCATCACAACCATTTACCACATGTGGAGCCGACGTATGACGAACAACACAGTTTGTTCTCAGGCTCCAGAGTTTCTGTTTTCTACTGATGTTGAAATGACACATTTGAACCATCACTTATCTACAAACAGATAAAACTAATGAACACGTGATAGCAAAGGCAGCACCAGCTGAGGAAAGGCTTTGCTGTTTACAAGTCTTTTACAAATCTTGGTCATCAGCAACATTAACGTTTTACGTCTGTCACTTCTGAAACTGTATGATTGTAGACATATTGAGATGACTTCACTGTCTTTACACTTTTGAAATAACTGACACTGTCAAAGAGTCATTGTCTCATCTTCCACTTGTGTCCCACTCACTGTTATTACATACACACTGAATAACACTACATCGGTATGTCTCATGAATCATATTACATTGCTAGTTTGCTGTTTTTAATTGCTTTTTGTACATGATATTTCTATATTCTACCTCGAATCAGAGAAAAGTTGCTGTGCTAAAATGACTATAGTATAGATGCAGATGAGTAAGAGTAAACTTCACTGGAAATAGGAATAAGGCGCTCCCTGCACACTAAAAAGTACGACAGAACGACTGCGTTTTTTTTCAATTTTTTCAAGTAAAAAAAAACATTGTGCCAAAATCAAACAGGAGTGAAAATAAAGACAAGGCCTTACAGTGCCTTAGCATGTAGATGAAGACACTGTAAGCACTTAGCCTTAATTTGGCACAATGTTTTTCAGATATAAACTTTTGGCATTATATGTCTGAGCATGAAGCTCTTTGGAAAGCATGAACCTAGTATGTAGCATAAAAGAGGTCCTTACAGCTATGGACATACTTATTTTGAATGCACATTACAAGCACTGACCCTTGAAGTCGAACTTATGATTAATTCCTTGTTATAGCGTGACGTTTGACTTTTGGCAGAGGCGTCAAGGAGATGTTGCTATGCTTTATCTCCATCTTGGTTAAAAGTGTCTGTGCACACACCAATCTGGTATTTCCCTGCCAGGACCATCTGCATTTCTTACAGTGCTTTAAAGTTCTCCTGTACAACTGAACCTGTTTCTTACAGTTTTATGTGCCTGTAACACAATCAGAGCAGTGGCTTGATATTAGAGGTGTTTATCATCTTAAATACATGGAATGATACCAAAACAATCCTGCTTTTAGTACATTTTCAAAGTCAAAGAATACAGACGTATTATTCTGTTTTCCAGCCCCTAAGTGTTTAGGGGATTCACAGTGAGTTGAGTGACTGGATCAGTTAAGAGCAGCATGGGGAAACTCCAGCCCTTCAGAATGATATCGAATAATGGGTCAAAGGCAACACAAACACCTGCTGCATCCTTATGTTTAATTTCAGTCCTTCACAAAATGTGTCCAGCCGTCCAACAGCAGTATCTGGGATAAAGCGATATAATGGAGTGGAGGCAACACCTTTACATTCACATTATCACTCAGATTGGTCTTCTTGTTTTGTCCAAGGTTAGACTGTTGAAAACCCAAGCCAGTGATGGGAAGGATACATGGAGAGAGGAAGAGCTGATGTCTCCATTTGTTCCTCTGTGTCTTTCTTACTGTTCTTTCCTTTTATTCCTCCAGATCTCCTGTCTGTTAGAAGCTCACCAAGGCGTAGACCATACTTCAGCAGGAAATAGACCGTGAAAAAATAGGTAGAAGACAGTAACTGTGCTGCTTTTTTTTTCAACTTTAAAAGTTCATACAAAATCACAACAACTCGAAAAAGGCATCACTCACACCTAACCAAGCAACAGCGCATTGAAAAGAGTGTCAGTTTACACTTACCTGTAGAGATAGTAGAAGAATGAGAGCAGATAAAAGCCCAGCTTACACCAGGACTCCTTCTGGCAATAATTGAGAATGTCGGCATTCATCACACTGACGGGATCATACATGACCTCTGACCCATCAGCTGGCCGATGAAAAAACCTGAAAAAGCAGAGAGGTTTGGCTCACTCTCACATCAGACCAACAGAAGCTTATGAGACATCTGCTATGGGACCGTACCTCCACAGATGGTAGAAGAGCAGCGGGATATTTAGGCCAAGTGTGACCCACTCTCCGGCACACATGAACATCAGGCAGAAGAGCCCGTGGATGGAGTACTCTGGTACCACCAACTAACCAGAACAGACACAGGGAGTCAGGGTATAGGTCTGCATGTTACTTAGAAACTGAAATGATTCAGGGATCACACTGCAACAGCATCTTGGAAACCACTGAAACACTCATTGCATGTTGTGCTATAACTACGATCTATGAAAACCAAAATTACACTGTGAGGTGAACGCTTTCACACAGAAGGTGTTAATGTTACTCATGGCTCACTGCCGCTACGAGTGCAAATATAGTTTTAAACACATGTAGATTGAGTTTTAGATGTTAATAGGAGTGGATGTTTGACACAGATGCTTCAGGTTGCTCAGATCGCTAGCTCGCTTCCAGACCTCTTAATCAACAAGCTGTGTGAACACAACGCTGTCATATTATCACCTTTCAGAGTTGATATGGCAAACTCGTTAACAGTTGCATATTTGCACATCCAGCTGCAGACCAACTCCTGTGAGAAATATCTCTTTAGCTGCTAAATGCTGCACTATGTTCACAAGCTAGTCGCTAAGTGCGTGTTTACTGTTTGGTGTTGAAGCGTACAGTCGGCCGTTTTTTATTCAGACAGCTGCCTGCTGAGACCCAAAGCAATGCTACGAGAGGAGACTGAAACAAAACAGTAATGTTGCAGGAAGGAAAACCAAAACAATGAGCTGAAAGTCTCTAAGAGGAACTGCAGAGTAGGGTGGTAACTCTCAGTAGGTTCATAAGTACGAGGCAATCCTTTATCATATCCACTGTTAATGCAAAACATGTTTGCAAGAATTAACAGCTTTAGAAACAGCTTTTTCTTTTCAACAAGGCAACCTTTAACTCCTCCAAGCAGTCGCTACAGTTTCTCTTTCGACTGACAACATTGTTGATGGGTCTGGTGTACAGACTGCCAGACTGAATAATCAAGTGAAAACAATATGACAATTTAGTCTGATTAGATAGATTAGCTAGATTGATCACCTTTCTATTTGAAAATTGATAAGGGAATAGATATTTTTTTTAATGCATCATCCTATGCATTTTGGTTTTTGCTGTTTAAGTCAATGCTGAAGATGAAACGTGTGCTTCTCTGCATTTTGTTTCCCTCTGCAACAGTTAAAGGTATTTGCAATTATATTTGCACTTAGGCAGATATTAAACAAATATGGATCATCTAATTTCTTTTTAGTGATGGGGTGGGTACATATCAGTGGCACTTAAGTTCCTTGCAGTGCACTGTTAAAATGAATCAATAAATCAAACTGTCAGTCAATAGCAAATATTTGAAAAACCAGTAGCTTCATACTGGTAATCCTCCAATAAGCAATTTCTTCCTTTGCAGCTAATAGAATTTATTCCCATGAAAGATATTTTTTGCTGACCAATGATCATTTAGTCACAAAATAATTCTGGCTCAAATTATGATCTCAGCGCTAACATTTTAAGATAATACTGTACTCTGCATAAATACATGGATGCTAATAGTGCAATTAGCATGCTCCCTTGCCTGATGAATTAAAGCTATTTATGTATCATATGTATTTCCTGATATAATTATATAGCTAATTTGAAAAGCCACTGTTGTACATAACACTAAGCCTTTTCCAACGCACACTTTCAAAATGGCCTCCACATTTAAAGGACACTGAGTTCTCTTTCTGAAAGCCTTAACATGTAGAAAAAAACATCACAACACACATAAAAGTGTGCTCTGTCCAGAGCAGTGGTGATGGGTTGTGAGGAGGGGCTGCATGTGAAATGAATCAGTGTGCGTTATGGTCATGTTTTTCTGAAGCCCCTCTGTTTAAGTCACCCACCAACAGCAGGTGAAAAACTATTACTCACTTTGCGAAGCAGGTTGCAGATTCTTTCAATGTTAAGAATCCTTTCCCTCTGCGGAGTACAAACAAAGAAAGTCTCATTAACAGTCTGCACATTTCTTCACACTTTTTACTGACTGTGTCTACCCAAGAGGTAGATTATAAAGAGATAATACTTGATTTTTAAGTTGCAGAGAATTCTGCTTTAAGGGATTTCAGCTTCTGGCTCCTTTCAGTGACACATCAATAAAATGTAAAAACTAGACCTGATGACTTTCAAATATATGGAGATTCCTGCTCTCTCTGTCCTCCATACCACACACCTCAACCTGATAAAAGACTTAATAACCGATAAGAATTAATGAATAAAAATTGACTGAATAACTAGCTTCCTTTTCTATCTCAAACTCTTAAGCTGTCATCCATTATATATTTATCTCAGGCAGCCAAGCATTAAGAATAAATGGTGGGTTGTTGAAAAAGCGAAACTGATTGAAACTGTTCATCAGTACAAAAACACAGCAGCCACATTTGTAGCAATAAGGACAGTGATGACTGGTGCACACCTTTGGCACTTTTCCTCATTACCCATGGCTCTTTCAGTCTCCTGTGTGCCATGAGAGAGAGCTCAATGATCACTTTTAGGAATGAAAGCCATCCATCTTCTACTGCATCTACCAGTCAGCAGCTAGTGGTTGCTTATGGTGACGTTTTATTAGGGTGTCCATTGATTAGCTAGCAAATGAGATGTTCTGCTGCAGTACATCCACCTAGAATAATCAGTTTCCATCAGCGGGCTGAGAGCAGGTACATAAAAAGTACCAAGGGTCAGGCAATTAACAGACGGATTGTACATCTGTTTTGTTTCATTCATTTAGCAAAACATCAAGAAGATAAGCAGGGTGGAAATGCTACATGTTTCCTGATTGCTTTATATTAGCATATGTAAACCATACTGCTGTTTGTTTCCTCTGTATTTAATGAAGCCTCAACTGGACTCTCATAGTCATACTGTTAAATACTGAGGCATCTGTCTTAGTTAGAGGATTATTGCTCCCAGTATTAAGGCACTTGTGATGTCTGTTCCCTTCAGCCGGAGCCACAGGCTGCACCTTTTGTCAATCTTTGGACATAAATTGTAACTCCCCTAAACCCACAAACCTGAAAGTGGATTTTGCTCTGAATCTACAGCATTCAGCCTCCAAACCAGACTCTGGCTCTCCAGCCTCACTGTTTATTTGCAGTTGTTGGTATTGGTCGATGTAATTTTGTGCATCACATCCTTTCACGACACCAAGCTTTAAAATGTAAAGAGCACAGTGGTGGACCTGCCAGCTAAGCTACTGCACATTGTATGGTTTGGAACTGCACTTAGAAACTGTTGTCCTGCAATAACTCTGTTTGAATTTTACAGCCTGGAGCTTCCCCGAAGTGCCCTAATTAGTGTCAGGTCATCCAGTTCATTCTGAATATTTAATAGTTCCAACCAAGGAAACACAACCCAGCACAATAATCACAACATACAGAACACACAAAAGAGGCAGAGCAAAGAGTGTTGTCAAGTATGTAGTTTAGTCAGAAATCTAATGAAGTGATTATGGCCAAATGAAGTAGGCAGTAAGAATAAAAAAAAAAAACAGGCATATCATTTAGAATGAAATGTCAAGAGCATAGGTGATTCACCTTTTAAGGCATTTCAAGAGGAAATAATTCCTCATTTCAGCCACTTTTTGTGAACCAGCCAATCAATATGTGCCACTTTTAGACTGCAACTGCGATACACATGAACCTGATCTGGAGACACATGTTCAGTCTCTTTTATTGTGTTCTTTTGTAAAATTTCCCTCACTAACAAATATTTACTGCTTTTGTAGACAATGGCAGTTGAGTGATCGCGTGCTGGTCTCTGCTAACATCAGAAATAATTGCTGTTTATTTTCCCAGGCGTTTGCCATGTGTGTCTTATTCTGTTTGTGCAGTTTATTGATTTGGGGGGAGACTGGCAGCATCACATCCTGGCTGATCATGTTCTTTCTGAACACACCTGACATGTTGACATCAGTCAAGATGACACGTTTAGGTTGTTTGTTATTGATTGAAAAAACGCCTGTACAATGTAATTCAATCCAATACAGCAGCCCACATACAAATCCTGCTGCTCTGAAGTGTGTCATGTCCAATATTTGTTGAGAGAAACGAGCCCTCCATCTTTGTCTGAGGGGGAAAATAACACATCCACTTTGAACTGAACATTCACCACTGTATTCGGTTGCGTTACATTTTACAGGTGTTGCAGTTATCGTGCCTCCACACTCCCACAGTCGGCTTTCACAGTTTCCTCTCCCACTCCTCATCAGTTTGCAGTTCAGATGCAGGTTCACATGATTGTTAGAACATTAGCTAACTTGTGAAAAAGACATTCACAGCTGCTGTTAACTCACTAAAAGAATAATGGCATTTATTCATTATTGACTCATGATGCTATTTTGTGTTGTTGCAAAAGATTAAGAAAGAACTTGGATTTTCAGTTGTGAATAAGTTTGTTGGTGTTACAGTGAGGTGGAACCTTGTATCTGCACTTTAACTGTGGCGACAGCTCAGTATGTCATTGTATAAACAGCAGCTTCATTTGCATCAGTCTTTTTAATTGATTAAGCCAACAAGCCAACCGTCTATGTAGAAGGTTGATTGCTTCAATCTGCATACAAATGAGTGTTCAATGAGCAGGCAAACTTCACCTGCCACTGTTGTAATCACCTGGAGACTTGGATTAGTTGGAATTGGTTTCAAAGTAGTACAAATATTTGATGTTTATAAATTAATGAACATTTGAAAGATTTTGTTCCAAAATCACAAAACCTTAATTTACACGAAATGATGCTTGCTCTTCCAGTTTGATTGCAGGCAATAAATTACTGTGTGCTGTGGGTTTCTTGTGAGAGACCGTTATTTATAAAAATCAGTTCATGAACTCGATGAAACTTGTGTTTTGGAAATTTGTAATATTGACTGATGCTGAGATTTATGGTCATGTGCAACATTTGTGGAGAGAAACCGTCAATTTGCTCTCAGTCTTTATGTGTAGATCATTGAGGGCTCCTCTTGGAACTAAAAAGAAGGGATTTCTATGTGCACATGAGGGTTTGATCATTCTTGAAAGAAGTGAAACAGCAGGGTTCTTACCGCTCTGGTGGGATTGCTCTGATCAATGGGGTTTTTGAAGTCTGTGCGGAGCTCATCAAATGCAATGATCTGAAAAATAACAGACATGTAAGTTTGTTTTCATTTAGTTATATTAATAAAACCAATAAATGCACTCACTGGGACCATTGTATATATCAAATAAAGACATAGCATTTTTTAGGAATGTGTACTGGCAAGAATCTGATGATATATTGTGATACTGTAAGCAAGGCTATATATTGAGAAATAAATAGTCAGTTTGAACACAAGAACACACCACCATATGCATAAAATTTAAAAAATGTTTTTATGCAACCATAACAGTGGGATCTGCATTTGTATTTATCACAGTCTCTGTAAGATCCAACATCACAGCCCTGAGTTTAAGTTTACAGCACTGCTATCAAGTGGTTGGGCGTTTAACTACACAAATCAATACAGTGTTTTTAAAAGTCAATATCAATAATAACAAATTATCAACATATTTCAGTATTTTCTTACACCCCTAGTATCTTTTCTTAGGAAATTGTCACAAGCCGGTCGTACAGCACTGGGGACTGGCATGGATCAGTTACTGTACTGCACGCTCACTGCATCTCCTACAGCTGCAGCCATATTCTTCACTTTGCCTGAACACACATGGTGATTAAATGGTGAATGCGGGGATGTATAATTACTTACAGCCTTGCCCTTTCCTTTTACACTGTATATGAGCTCCAATTGTGTTTATACCATGTGTCATTATGTAGCTTCTTATCTGATGAGATTTAAATTCTCCCCAGGTTGTCGCACAGTGGATTTGACCATTTTCTGTTTTTCCTCTCCTCTCAAATTGTATATCAATCTCTTTTTTTTGAGCCTGATGATAAAGTTCACATTAGAGACTACAGAACATCCATGAAGACACAGACAGATGTCAAAGGAACTCATTTTTAGTTACAATTGGCAAGAAGGGTTAATTTCCAAAAACTATTTTCCTAAACATTGTTTTTGTTTTTGGTGCCCTCCAAAGACTATCAGTGTTGGGCTATTTTGATAAATTTATATATTGGGGGAAAAAATAATGATTAAATTGTGCACTCAAGGGAATATTAATCAAGCTGGTGTTGGTTTATTCATTTTAGGAATTGTGTTTATTTGTTTTTGCAAATGAACTCTCTTTATTTATAATCTGGCAGGATTAAAACACCCAGCGCATTAAAAGTTATGTGTGGAAAAATGCATGACTTCAAATGTATGCTCTGTTGAGTTTGTATTTAAGAGGATTACGGTATCCTGGAGCTCGCCTAATTTGTTTTCTTTGGCCTTTTTAGTAAAACATCAACATATATTAAACTGAGGACATTGTAGAGAAAACAATGTCACTGTCACTGCGCTGATAGCTCTCTAACTGCTCCCTGTGAGGCATGTAAGAGTGATAATTCCTCTCACTAGCTCCCTGATTAATAGCTCTATAAAGATACTAATAATTCTCAGTGTAAAGGCCACCTGCTGTGCTTATCATCAGTTCTGCTTTTAAACAGTGAAGCTTCACTTTGACGGCTGGTTGATAAAAAACAGACATTATTTGCAGATAAGTGAGCGTCTGACTCGCATCTACAGTGGCTGATAATATGAAAACAGAACACCTCAATCTGCTTGAAATATTAACAGTCCTGGTGGTCATTCCCCTGTACAAGTCTATACGGCTCTCCCTCGTCTTCTTTCACATTCAGCTCTGTTGTAAACAGATGCAGTTTCCATGGCGACATGGTGAGCCCCTCAGCGGGCTCCATGGTTACTATAGCAGTGAACAATTGTTCTCATTGGTTGACAGCCACATAGAATTGGGGTGCTGTACCCGTGGGTGGTGGCAGACTGGGGGAAGGGGTGAGCAAAATCGGTTTGATAAGTGTTTCAATCACATGGTTGAGTGCTGAGCCAGACACACGCTTCTCTTCGTCTCTCTCTCTCACACAGACACACTGACTGACTCATATGTAGTCTCACCCACTTAGTCAATTGGTACGTTAGTCATTTCAAGTCTTATATTCATAATGATATGTTTTGTATTTCACATTATTCCTGCCTCCGTGGACCGAATGTTAAAGGTGAGGGATCAAAGCAAAGTGTTTGTTCAGTCGGCACTTGTGTAACCAGCAAGCCGAGTGCACCGGTGTCCTGTGGTATCTGTGCAAATTCCACTCAAAATGCCGCAGGCAGACAGATTCACAACAGTTGTATTTATGATCACTGTGTTTTGCTGCCTCCCTGTACTCATTTTAAAGCCTTAACACCTTGTTTGGGGAACTGTTTGTTGTTGAGGAACTTTAATGTGGAGGGATGGAGGTATTTGGAATTTGTCTATTTGTTGAATGTATAGGTCAGGGTCAGAGGAGCTCCAGTTAATTATACTACTGATAAAGCAGCATGTAAGCAGGTCACTTACAGTTGCTGTATGGAAATGGAAAAAAAAACAACACACAAATTTAGACGTAACATTCTGTGTTTTTCAGGCTCAAGCATCACCTACAACTCAAAAATGAAAAGAATTGTCAAAACTGAATCTGTATCCAAGTAATTATGTCTTCACAGCTCAAAATTAAAAGGAAAAAAGTGTCACTTGGTGGCTAGTAGAATTTCACTGAGGTTTTCTTTGAGATTGAGCTGACATATTCTGCATGTCATTACCTCTAGAGGACCTGAGTGAGGTGTGTGTATGCTGTGTTCCTGACAGTGTACGACTGTGTGTAGGTGGATGTGTTTGTCTGCCTGCGTGGGACGGAGCGTGGACATTTGCAGGCCCTACATGTGCCCATTTTGGATTCATTGTGTGTGTGTGCAGTGGTTCCAGTGTGCACAGTGCCACTCACCTGCCATATGACAAAGAAGATGAGAGCAGCGCACAGCACCAAGGTGAGCATGTAGCAGAAGGCCGCAAAGGTGAACGCCATGGCTGTGCCAGCCAGCCTGACGACGAGATGGGTCGAGAGAGAGAAAGGGAGTTTACCCCCTGTCTCTTTCTCTCTATTGGCTATTGCCCACTCTCCCTCCTCCCTTTACTGGAGGTTACTGTCTGTTTTCCCCTCCGACGCGAGCTGAGTCTGTGTTGTCCAGGTAGGTAAAGCACTCAGTTTTAGTAACAATCAATAATCATCTTGAGCAGTGGCTTCACTGCTTCCGCTCATGCTCTGTCTTTGTCTCTTCTTGTGTGTCTCACAGTAGGACGACCCCTTTCTGGCTTTGATTTAGGAAGCACTTATATGTCTGTTCACAGCCACAGTTGTCTGTTGTTGGCCTGATGCTCCTCTTTTCAGTCTCTGACAGGCAAAATGTCTGTCTCCTCCTCGTCCTCCATGTAGTTTCTCTTTTGACAAAGCCTACACATTTTTTTTCCCCTCACACTAACGCGCACCACAAAGTGTCTCACTGACACACAACAGAGGCACAGGATTCTCGTCGATACTAAGCACAGCACTGCGCTTTAAAAACTGAGAGTTATTATCTGAGATGGTTATGGCTTGTGATAGTTCAGTAGTTTGTCGTATGGCTTTCAGTTAATCTGTTGCTCTATATCCAGAACCTCATTAATGACGCATTTTTCTTAAAACATATTAAAACACGTTTGTAAACAACTATAGTTTGCAAATCAGCTGCAAGTTATTATTTACAGAGAGAGTCTCTTGGTACATTACTTTTATTACTAAATCTTTGAGAAATGATTTGCCTCCACATAAATCTGATCAAGTGCTGAAGATACAAGGTATTGCTTTACACATTTTACCGTTATATTCTGACAAAGCCAATTACTGGTTAATTTTGCAATAATATAATACAAGTTCAAATCAGTGAGGCAAAAAATATTGGTTTCAAACGAAACAACTATTTAACATCACAATGGCAATATCATGCATTCCAAGAGGACTTACAAATACAATATCAGAGCACAATATTATTGATAGTTTTAGTTAACATGGATCCATATCTTGACTGATCTTAATATCGAGTAGAGAATACCTGTGTCTGGTTGGAGACGTGTCTGCCACTGAACAGTCCACTCTGTCCTCGTCTCTGTCAATTTGGGTCGGCACCATGTCAGAATTCTCTGCTCTGCATCTTTCCCTCAGACGCATCCCTCAGATTTTTAAAAAAAAACATTTAGATTTGTCTTTGCTTGCGTGCAGGGTAAATTATTCAACTCTGGGGGGTAAAAAAGGGGCAAATTTTAACCAGAAACCTGCAGAACATCTACATGTTGAGTCGCATTTACTCTGATTTTGAAATCACTCCAGTTGCAAAAATCTCCAAAGCTCTCAGAAGTCATAAGTTAATTAGTCCACCTTTCTATTGTCTCCCTTTCCTTATTTGCCTTTCTTTCTGTCTAAAGTCTCTTCTCTTTTTATCTCTTCCAGAAATTTTGAAAACAGACCTGAATGTGTTTCCTGAGTCTACTGTCTCTGTCTGTCTCTTCCTGTATTTCTTAGACTGCGAGAGAAATATTTCTATCACGCTTGATGTTATAACGGTCAACCAATAGCATCGCTCTGTCTCCCTCCCTCTCTTATTTGCCCTCTCTCTCTTCCTCCCTCCCTCCTCTCTCTCTCCTCCTCCTTGTCTGTCAGTCTCCCTCTCTCTCTTGCATTTATACATTTCCATAATCTCTTGTTCCCCAGAGAGTGATGAGGGGGCAGGGCAGGCTGCAAATGTTTTTCCTTTTGTCTGCATCTCTCTCTCTCTCTCTTTTCTCTTTTTTCATTTCTCTCCCTCAATCCCTCATTCCCTCTCACCAAAGCCTTCAGTCATCCATCATTTCATGAAATGTAAATCTGAGGGTGTTGCTCTCAATCATCATCAGTCATTTCTTTTCAGTTCCCTGCTCTATTAGCTCTTCACTCAACATCTACTAAATAGATCCATTTCACTCTTTGTTCATTCTGTTTTTTTGTTTTTTTTTTCCATCTCCATCCAGTGCATTATTGAACAGATTTTAGAGACTCATGTGTGTTCCTGCCACATATTTTGTTAAAAGCATCCAGTATTATTATCACTGATTCTCTGTGTTGATATGTGTACTATTTCTTTGACAAATGCCAGAGTCTGTAAGGATTAACTGCATCACACAAACACCAAATACACAAACATCCATTTGAGAAAGTACTTCACCACTGTCTCATCAAACTTCTCTGCTGTTAAACAGAAATGTAAGTACAGGGGGGATCTGATGATGAAATGCAGTGGTCTTAGCCTTTTTATCTGACAGGCCTATTGGACATTTCAACCATTTATTAATTACTTTCAGCTATTTCATCTGTCCCTGCATTACTTTTAGCTATCTTAACTATGTATTTATTACTTTTAGCTATTTCATATGTTTATCCAATACTGACTTTACTTAACTGTCACTTTATTTGACATAACTTACATAACACTGAACCCCAGTTTGCCTCCCAGCCACTGCTGGTCTCAAGCCTGGACTAAGGGATGCGTTAGGAAAGGTATCTGCTGTAAGGAACCGATGCCAAATGAAATATGCGGATCATCAGATGCACTGTGGTGACCCTATGGGGAGCAAGCTGAAATAAAAAAAATTTAAAACATAAAGGCTACTTTTAACTAGCTATTTCATCTTTTCTATTCTTTTGCTAACACACACTTAAAATGTGTAGCTTACTAGTGTAGTCTGTGTTTACTAAAGAGCAGCATCACCCCAATCTGTGATCTTATTTAGCTGTTTATTTAAATCAAATCACTATTTCTATTTAGTAACAAAAGAGCTAATTAAAGTAGAGCTAATTAATTAAGTTTTCCATGTAAGACCCCAACTGCAGAAATACCCCATGTAGTAGGGGAAGGCCTATCCCAGTTGGAAATCAATTACTAAATTGATCCCTATGGTAAGAAGTATTTCAGTGTTTTGTGGGAGATAGGAAACAGACCATGTCTAAATGCTGTCAGCTGGTACAGTATAACAATGTGTTAGCCAACCAGCTACGGGCTCTTGAATACCCTTTTGAGTGGTAAATTGTTAAATTCATTCACACTGTCATAACTCAGATTGACGACATCAAAGCAAATCTTCAATCATTGATTAGCATAGAGCAGCAAATTCTGGTTTAAACTTGCAATAACTGGTTTTCTTTGCCACTTGGTTGCAGTGTAAACAAGGTGTAATCATTTTTTTATGGCACCTTAGCAGTCACCTCTGCACACATCCAACAGATGTGGAACAACACCATTAATTTGGACTCATGTTTCTGTCCACCTGATAAGTCCAATATTCTGTCTGCTTTGCTCTCCACCAACTCCTGAGAAAAATATCTGGTTCTTTAGCTGCTAAATGTTTCCAGCTATTATTAACTTTGTCTGTTTGCAATTTGGTGCAGGATAGGTAGCATTTAGCTTTTTTAGCCACTCTCTTTTCTGTAGCCACAAAATTGTGCTGATTTATAAAATAATTTGATTGGATTGGAAAACCAAAACAATGAGTTGAAAGATGCTTTTAGCTGAGGGGAACTGTCAAGTGACACCTCTCACATAGAAGCAGTCACATGATCCATTGTTAATATAAAAATATTGATGATCGCTGCTTTAAGAAATTATTTGGATTTTTTCCTGACTGGGACAAACTTGTGAATGTTTTTTGTTTGTTGGTTTTTCTTATGGGGATTTATAGAGTGACAGTAGGACCCTCAAAGTTGGGAAATACAACTTAATACATTTTCAAAGATTTACATAATATATTGTATCATGTTATTTATTAGGGAGTTAATTTGACTAAGAACAAGAAAGAAATCTGATTCTTCAACCTCAGACATTTATTTTAAATGTTTAGGAATCTAATGATCTAACTGTTCCATGGACTCATCATGTCAGATCTGATTTAAGGGATTGTTAAATATAGCTCCTAGAAGAGTTAACACTTCATGTACATGATTTATCAGTAATTATTTTGGGCATCAACAGAAATCAATTTATGTAAAAGTGAACAAACAAAATACAAACTGAGTGAAATGAAAGACAGAAAGCTCTGCTGCATGTGTGCTGCTGGATACATTGCTGATTTCCACAGTTACATGAGTGCATATGTGTAGTCTGGTTCCAGACCCCTGAAATGCCGCCCACATCTTCAAGTGAAAAAAAATGGCAGCTGAGTGTGATGATCAGGCTAGTATATAGCAGTACATATGGCTGATGGCTTGTCATGAAAGTATGGTGTGAAGAATGCAATCTGGGTTACAGCACAGAGCAGTGAATGGATGGTTTTCAGCAATCTGGGTTAGTGTGTTAGCCATCCAATGGTTAAGCAGAGGTCGCTGGTCTATTTTGGTTTTCTGTGTTGTCAGTGGTTGGGGATTCCCTGCAGTCTGGTCAAACTGTGTCAAGATGTTATTTTTAATGTAAATTACTTTTTTACTTGTATTATTCCTAAATCAGTCTGGGTTGTTAAACTGGCAGTGCCATAGCATAGTTAATGGGAAACACACCATTTGGTTGGAGTAAGTAATTTCTTCATTGTGATACAGTGAGAAATCGGAGGCACGCACTGGGCTCATGCTTATCAGTTTCTTTAATATATTTATATAAACTGCAGTTAGATGCCACAGGTGCTGAAGGCTGCCAGACAGCCCTGATGAGGGGTTTGGCTCCATCTTGAGCCAGTAGCTCAGAAGTCATAAACACCACACGAGTGTGTCTGGAAACCACCGGAGGAAGTCCAAAAAAAAAAAGTCCTCTGGCCCTCGGAGAGAACCCTTAAATCCTCGAGTTTGCTCTCATTAAAACTTACTCTTCGTTGATGCTTAGCCACAGAAGATTATCAACTACATTAAGTTAATAAGTTTATTTTATAAGGAGTATGGTCTAGACCTGCTCTATTTGAAAAGTCCTGAGAAAGCTTCTGTTGTGATTTTGATTTGCTATACAAATAAAATTGAAAAAACTGAATTAAAATTGAATTGGCTTTGACATAAAACAAGATGTTACTTTATTGATCCCCTGTAGGCGAAATTCAAATTTGACAGCAGTGCAGGGTAATGTAGTGCAAAGAGTAGAAAAAGAATCAAATACAATACAATTAAATATAATAAAAATATAATACACTATATGCAATAAAGTGGAATATGGTGAGTGATGATATTTTAAACTGTGTATAACTGTACATATGACATTGTTTGGTCTGACTGAAAAATGGAAACAACCCCAATGAAGACAATTGAGCTAAAAAATGTGCATTGATCAAGATAACTTTTTTTTTTATTATATAGATGGACCCGAATGCAACGAATCATGTACTACATGCAATAACTGCTGTTATTTCCAAAGAGTAATTAAACCTCTGGCTGAGACCTATAAGGATGCGTGAAGCCCTAACCCTCAGCAGACCTGCTGGTGTCTCATTGCCGGCTTTAGGCTTCCCACTAGTGGTGACAATAAGTGACTGCAGCTCCTGATGAATTGTTACGTCACACAGCAAAATCATGGCATTAAACCTCATCTGTGAAACTCCAAATACCTCAGTCAGATTCCAGTATAATGTGTAAGACAGCTGACCATGTTGCAATGTAGGCTGATTTTAACATATTACTAGCTTGTTTATTTATAGTCTAATCAAAAATGTTAAAGAAAAAGTACAAATTCTTTATGAGGATTTCATTTTTTTTCATATGTCAGTGATAGGCTCTTTATAATATTATTATTTCTATTTCTTTATTCCTTTTACTTTTTTTTTCTATTTAAAGCAGCTCGTAACCGTAAATAACAGATACATGAAGAGGAATAAACATTATTTGACTTATATATAAGTTTTATGATAATGTAAATGCAATGACCACTGAGCCACTGCTTTTCCGCCTTTAAGCAAACCAGGCAAATTTCAAAATCATGACAATGTTGGGAAATGGGAAAGTTATTAATTTTATTATTATGAGTGTGACATTAGTTTGGTGTGTTTACTGCTCTATCACTGAAAAACTGCTGGTTTAACACACATTTACATCAAAAAGCTCATATATTCCTGCAGAATAATCTTATTTTTTTTTAAATCAGATACTGCGATGTCTCCAAGGACAACAATCAGATCTGTTGTGTTGACTGTTAGAGCTTCTACAGCAGTGAGGACAGACACAGTAACTCGCTCAAATCTGTGTGTGGAATCCCAAGAACATTTTAATTTGTGTATTTGTGCAAATGAAGACGGACAGATTTGAAATTGTCCACAAGATGGCAACATATGAGAGGCAGAGGCAGCAACAGATGGTCACATTAGGCGTCCAACAGCAGTATTGATTTTCAAATGACTCACTCTCAAAGCAGAATTTTAAATTCCTCCAATGGTTTTACTGAATGTTCTGAACATGTAGGCTTTGAGACATTCATGCTAACTCATTTGATGGAGGAAAACATCCTTATTGATAACTGAGACGAGGAACTGTAAGAAAACTACTCTTATGTATATAAAA